TAATTCAAAGTAAAACAACAACAAACCACATAGTGTTTTAAATTTTCAAAAGTAAAACTACGACGATTTTGTCTCAACACTGACTTATACCTACATAAATATGTAGTAAATAATACAAAATGTAAATCAATGTTATCATCTTAAATTAAAATACAATTCTGTACTTATATACACTTAAAATTATCATAGAAGTATTAATTAGAATATACTACAAAACCACAAATTTTGATGATGTAAATGACAAATTATTTTAAAAATTTGAATTGTTGTCAAAATTGTAATCAAACATGTAAAAAAAAGCAAACATTTACAAATAGTGTAAAAATATATGTATAACATATTTGTTTTTTTGATGAAAATGTAAAAACATGAAAAATATAATAACTACTAAAATCATAAAAATATAATTATTACAATAATAATACATTCAAATACTTATTTTATACAAGAAAATGTAAATTGTATTATTTGTATTATTTTCATAATTGTTTTGTATATTTAGATTAAAAAACATTCCATGGTCGTATACGAGTAAATTTCCGTGGCCGGCTTGCCAACAAATCGGCTGGTTTGCTGCCCACTTATTAAATACCAGCCCATAAAGATAAGATAATTTTACTTTATATAAACTTTGGATCAATACTGAAACATAGACTTATATAGATAAATAATAGTAACTCTGGGCAAACACCAAATCACTCTTTTGAATTTGGCAATAAATGGTAATTTGTGCAAAACTGCTTCGCCTGTTTAGGTTTTGGTGTATCAAAACGGCTCCCTCCATTATTTCCTTACTTCCAAACAGCTACTTTCGAAAACCTTTCACCCACATTTACCTAATGTATGACTTATATTATTTATAAATTTTTATATTTATAATGTTTAAATTAAAAAAAAAAACCCCCCCAACACATTTTGTAATCTCAAGTGTTTTTTTTATTTTTAATTCACGATATCAAATATATGATAACTAGAATTGGGTTTACATATTTTTTTTCCTGTCTTTATTAATTTTACAATGTTATACATATAATTATCGATATATAATGATTATATAGTTAAAATCTCAATAAAGGAAAAAAAATTATTATTTGTGTAATTTTTATAATTTACTTTCTATGAAAACACAAAATCATTTAATAATGTAAATATTTTAAATTTTTAATTCACAGTTTCAAATAAATAAATTTTAAAATGTTCCCAGTAAAACAATAATCATTATTATATAGCCAAAACTATTATCAAAAGTATATGAAATTCTTTTATTTGAAAATTTCTTTTTTAATAGATATTAAATCAATTTATTTTACAGATTCCTGATCTTCAGGTTCTGTTAGACTACGATGTTTGTTGAATTCATCTGCTAATGATGAATTCATAACATTTGAATTAGATCTAGAAGCATAATAAAGAGCAGTTGGACATGTTCTAGTGCACTCTCCATCTTTAAGTACAAAGCATTGCTTTTTTGGTATAAGTTCTGACTTGAAAACTGTGTGCTTTGACAGTCTACTACTATCTTCTGTAGGTACTGTTGTATCCTCACAAATATCTGTAGTGGACTGTCCAATCTAAAATGTATCATAATATTCAATAAAAATAATAAATATTACAGTATTTTAATAAATTACTTTTTGAATGAATGCCATTGTACAAGTAGGGCAAGCATATGGTCTCTCCTGAGTACGGTGTTCATGTTTTTTACTTGTACTAGTATCAGCAAAAGATTTGTCACAATATCTACAGTTATAAGGTCGTTCGCCTGTATGTTTTCTTGCGTGTTCTTTTTTAGCAGCTATAGTATTAAACACCTAAAAACAAGTAAAAATTCTAGATAATACACTAGTTGACATCATATCATATAATAATTTATTTATTTAATACAATTTACTTTGCAAAGATCAGTGTATTCCTAAACAACTTTCTTTAAATACTATTAAATTAATCACAGATTTTGGAAAAATTACAATTGGCTTTTCCCTACAACAACATAAAGCCTACAGAATGTATGTAGATACAATTTTAGTACAATTTAAACATAATATTGTATTCATTTATGGACAAATTAATGCGAAGACCTCTAAATGATCATAACTTGATAACAAAAAAATAAGACACATTTGAAAATTGCTAATAAATTTGACCAACTAAGGACATTCAAAATTTCAAACTCATGATATCTGTGTTAATGTAACTTATAGTCTTCAGTAAATTAATAGCACTCTGGAGTTGTACAAATGTATGATACTAAACAATCAATATGTAAAATAACAAAAATATTCATTATTTAATAATTGTTCATGAAAAATAACTAACAAAGACCCACCACCTATTTACCAATCAACTCAGTTATGGCACATCAAAATCTCAAATTTCTGCAAAGAAATTAGTATATTTTAGATTCTAAGGGGAGCGATGAGTGTATGGAATTTACAATGTTGTGTGTTATTTTTGCGTCTGTCATTAGCTTTCAGAGGAGTAAAAATGATTCAATTTTTTACTTCAGCATCTTTTCTGATAGAATGATAGAGTAGATCAACTATTTGGCTCATTAGGGGACTAAAAGTAAAAAAATCCTAGTATTTAAAAAGCAATAAAAGAAATTACCTCTGTGCTGTCTCTGTCTTATAAACGTACGACATACTCGATTTTTTTTCATCAGTTTCAATACTATTTTGATATTAGAGTGAATTGACCTATTATAAAACATGTAGGTAAGATTATTATCTAGTGCCCAAGGTAGCTTTAATTGATATTATTATTTTTAAGTAAGCTATGACCTTTTTGAAAAATATACATTTTAAAATGATCATAACTTACTTAAAAATAATAATATCAATAAATTCTGACATGGGGCCTTAAATAATAATCTTAAGTTTAAATTTTATAATAGGTCAGTTCACTCTAATATCAAAGCTAACAGCACACCATGGATACTGGTGTACAACGATTTGTGATGTCGTACGTGTGTAAGACAGAGACAACACAGCAGGTATATGAAAAACAGGGATTTTTATGCAAATCCAGTTTTTGACAAAATTGAATTTAGATTGTTTGGTGTCACTCAAAAACTAATAACCGTAGATACTTTAATTGTTGATTAAATAATTTTCATGATCATTTTCCACACATGAAAACATTTGCAAAATATTTTAACTCTTTTAGAGTTGTTTAAAGTCATGACAAATTTTAAATTTTTATAAGTTTATTTTCTATAAATGTTAATAAAAATTGTTGGTTGGGCCAAAATGCTTGAATATTTATTATAAGTTTCCTCATCTAGGTACCTATTATAATAAAGCTGTAGAAAAATATTGAAAAATACATTTGCACAATTTTTTTTTATAAGCATTTTAAGTTCGATTTTCATCAACATTTCAAAACATTTGAAAACTATTTTGTAGTTAAAAATGTATATGATTATCAATTTTTATAGCAAATTATTGTAAATTTAAACAAAGTTTCTTGTAAGCAGTTCATACTGTAACCAAGCAAAATTAAAATACATAGTTCAAAAGATAATTATTTAGACTCACTTTCAAACAAACATCACAAAAAATTATTGACCTATTTTGTGGAACACTAATAGTGTTTACATGACTGTCTTTCTGATTAATAAGTGCCCGCTCATTCGAACCTTCAAATTGTCCATCACAAATTAAATATTTTGATTTCTAAACAGTAAATAGATTAAGTTATTTCATTATTATACATGTACCAACTAAATATTTTTTATAAATTACATTAATTATTTGTCAAAAATAATAAATATGTGATAAAATACATACACTTGGAAAACTTGTTATTTTTAAATGTTGCTTGGTGTGCGATTCTAACTCTGGCAGTGACTTCAATAACAGTCCACAATCATTACACTTATATTTTTCTTCTTTAATGTACTCAAGTTCTATATTTGAATACAACCTAAATACGAACACAATTAAAACCAATTATTAAAATTATGTAAATATACAAATTGTGCTTGAATTGAAATTAAGATTTACCAATAATCATAATATATACCTATTATTTATGTGTGTAAATATATTTTTTTTAATTATTACTTAAGTTATTATATTTTTTCTAAAATGTTCTCTATGATATTATATTCTATCATAATATTATTATCTAATATTTTTAAAATACTTTGGTAAAGTATCAAATATAAAATAGGTACACCACCAAAGAAAAATAACAAAACATTTATCTCATCTTTTACATTTACTTTTTAGTTCAATAAATTTAAAAATTAAATCATTAATAACTGAATTATTTACTTGACTTTGTATGAATCACATTTGTCTTGGCTTTTTCTACTGCTATTGCTGTCTTTAGTATTTGATTCTTGATAAATGTAATCTTTATTTTCAGAACCTTCACCACGTGTAACACTCCAACTGTGTACTGGATTGATGAACTGTGAACTATCTGATACTGTATTATGGTGATTTTTAAGCATACGGCTTATAACATGTAGATTTTCGGGAGATGACGCTTCCTCACATTCGGGTATTGGTATGTCAACATCAACAGTTGATGACAAACATTCAACTTCTGTTTGTAATATGCTAAAACAAAATAAATATTTAAATAAAATATGCTACCTGATTATGTGAGTTCAGTTCAATATTAATTATAAATGTGTAATAAAATTATTTTGAAACCACAGAATTCAAACAAAAATTAATCATTAACATTTAATCTTATTGAGGTAAAAGTTAATCAAAACACCTAAAACAATTATGATGTACACATATTTAATTTATAAATACTTCTAAATTCTACTGTTATTATTTATAACACAAAACTACTAATAATAAAATTGATTAAAAATTGAAATCATTAACACAGTTTTTATTGATGTACCTAATGTAGTATTCAATATTTCTATGTATTGTTTTTAAGAAATATTTAATTAAAAATGTTTAAAAATCAATAGTTTATAATAATATAGTCTTTTAACATTTGACATTTGGTCATAAGCTCATAACCAGTAACGCCTACTAGGGTGTACATTTTATATTTAAATAGTATAAAAACAAGAGTTTAGAGGTGTAAAAAGGGTGTGGGTGAGATGAAGCTACCTTTACTGAAATAATTTTGTTTATTAATTTTCTGCAGATGTCGATAATCATAAGCTTATTAAGGCCATAGATTTACAAAACTTACTGACACTCACTATAGGTGAACGGATGAAATAACTTGTGACTACTGTACAAAAACTAGTCGTTCAATCAACAACTGCTACTCATTGTTTGAGCATATTTGTTTGAAATTTAAATCAAAACTCACGTGTTATTGGTAGAGTGGTCTATGTCTGAACTTTCAATGATTATTTCCGCACATTCTTGAACAACAACTTCTTCTTGAACAACAACTTCTTCTTGAAAAACAACTTCTTCTTGGACGTCTCATAAATCTTGAAAATTAATCCCAAAATCTTCCTCATCACTAAATGCAAAAAAATCATCACCAGCATCATAAAGCTCTTTGTTGATTTGCAGTCCTTTGCCCATTTTCTATAAATATAGAAGATTTAAAATGTAATAATCGCATTGTGCATCGCTCTAGTGTTAGATTTTTAAAACAACTATGATATCTTATAATTATTACTGAATGAAGATACTGATAATATATTAGCTAAGTATAGTCAGTCTTGTAAAAGATACTTTTTAAAAGTATTCAAGTACAGATACAGTTAATTATTTTGAAAAAGTATTTAAAATATGTATTTGAATACTCACCAAAAAACAATGTGTGAGTACTCATAAAAATAGTTTAAAAGAAGTAAAAGAACAAGACGCTTTCCCGCTTAAGACACTTTAGAGAACTGGTCCCTTAGTGGCGTCTTAGGCGGGTTTTACTGTACTTTCAAATATAAATAATTTTTTTACCTCAAAAATCTATTGAATCTATTTTTGTTAAAAACATTAGTTTTATAAAGCATATATTTTACACTTCATCATTTGGTAGAACTTCATAATAATCAATTGTTTTTTTTATATATATATATTTATATACATTTTTTACTTTTATTTTATGTGGTTAAAATTAAAATAGAAAATATATAAACTATAAAGAATTTTCAAAGTATTTGATTTTAAATACAGATACTTTGAGAAAGTATTTGAAGTACTTTGTTGGAGTACTTTTTTAAAAATTATTTAAAATACATATTTGAGTAAGTAGTTAAAAGTACTTGAACACTTTTACTCAAGTATTTTACAAGACTGGGTATAGTGACATATTAGCATAACACAACAGATTCCATGACCGCTCTAGTCACATTATTGAGCTCATTTTTTGGTATATAGTTATGTTAGTGAATTTTATTAACACAATGGTTTGTCCTACAGAATTGTTAAACAGTAAAGCTTCATCAATATTGTCCGGACTGAAATGCTCTATCCTGATAATAGATTCAACAACTTTGTCCATACAAGAAATATTCTTCATTCTATCAAGTATCTAATCTAGCTTTTGGCTAGGTACAGAAATAGATGGGAATATTTACTTCCACAAAGTCAGTTTCTATGGCAAAACGAGGCAGTAGCTAAGAGTATATCTAAAAAGAAACATGTCGGCAATTCAAATGTGATTGATCAAGAATGATTTTCTATGACCCTTACAGTTACTAAAAATCAATTATACCCAGAAGAGTATCCATGGGGAGGGGTTCGGGAGGTCAGACCCCCTCTTCCACCACAGATCTGAGAAAAGTAAACTAATTTTATAGGTAAACCGGTTTTTTTAAAAATATTTTAATAATTTTGACTCACCCACACACTAACTCATGCCTACGTATTATACAAGGTGTAACAGTTAGACCTGCCAAAAAAAAAAAATGATGCTACCTTAACATAGAACAAAATTTTTATACATTATATAAGTAGTAAAAAATTTAAGAACGTCCCCAAATTTTCTAAAATTATATTTTTGGAAAAAAGTTATTACGTTCCAAATGAATTTAATCAAAAAATATTGATATTTAAAAAAATTCTAAAAATAAACTACTCGACTAAAGTAATCGTTTTTATCATCAAAATTGTTTTTATTCACAAATTGGGGATTTTTAAATCATCAAAAAAAAATGTAGCTAAATTTAAAATTTTTTGTATTCAGTAGTAAAAAAAAAAATTTCATATTATACAAATTAAAATATTGATTATAACAAAAGTTATTGGATTAGTCAGTTCTTTCTGTTATACACTATATACTCATATTATTACTTTGATAATGTTTATATCGGGACGTTTATACGGTTTCCCCGAGGCTTCATTAACCTATGACGATTTTAAATCGGTCAAGTCTGGTCCCAATTCTACTGGCTGTACACAAAGTTTATTTAAGATATTGTGCTCTAAATGACAAAATGTAATTAAGTAATATCATACCTATTTGAACTCAGCCAGTTTGTGCATATTTATTTTTTAAGTATTAACTATTAATAACAATTTAATTAAAATAACAGTTGTTAAATTCATTTTTTTTAGAATTATAAATTGGTTTTATTTATTGTTTGAACATACTAAGGTCATTAACCTGGTACTATGGTGGGGGGAAGGTTGGTTTCATCCACCTGGGAACTGGTAACACCGACCGGTGCGCACACTCAGACACAACTAAAATGTAGACACCGCGCCACATGTTTTAACATAATATTATGATATACTGAAACAATAAAGATAAACTAGGTTTATGACCTAATTGTTGAAGTCTAAACATTCAATAAAAAAATTAAAAGTCAAAAAATGAGGATAAATACCCGATGAACGATATAATGAGCGTCTCTCCACTACTAATTAAGTTAATATTTTTTGAACCCCTGCCCCCTATCCATAACAATGTCCTGGATAAACGTCTGAATCAACTAACCAACAATTTATTTGAAACGTATCTTTCCCAATAATTAATTACAATTTTGTTGAGGCTCCAACCTTAGCCCGGGCGCTGGCCCTAGTCGCCCACCCCTGAATTTTAATTTAGCCCCCTGTCATAATTATTCCTATATTCTCACCAACGATAGCTTCATTTATATATTTTAGTTAAGAAAATTTTTGTTATTGACTAACTCTATATTATTATTATAATATGTGATGACCCTGTATATGACGTATCATGTCGTGTTATTTTTACTACATACTTAGAAGTTGTCTACACAAAAATAGTCGTTACCCAGAAGAATTGACTCATGATTTTATTTTTGTAACATTAATGTATAAATGAGAACGACTATGTAACGATTACCGGACGACAATCGCTGTGCATAACCGCTTATAGGGGTCTTGATAAAAACAGAATTAGATTTTATATTATTTGATTCAATTATCATCGTCTTTCGATCTTCATAAGTACAACGGTTGTGTGCTTGTGTCTAATAGTACATATTCTCTTCAACATCGTTGTATTATTATTTTAATAAATTAGTCAAATTTCGTTTTCCTATGTTTTCAGGATTTATAAAATCAAAAGCTACATTTATCACTTCTGTCATCTGTTCCAATAAGTTCTGCATCTAGTGATGAACATTTTCAGCAATGCCAGATCGATTCTCTCAGTTGTTTATTATAGCTATTCAAAGAGATTTATCAAATGTTCTAAATAAAGAGACATTTAAAAAAGATTTGATAATACTGCGCTGAGAATTAAACTGTATTGACTAGTGAATTATTGTTATCTTACATACATAAATTCTTTAACTTTCACTTATATTTATAAAAATTAGATTAAAAACTTGAATACATTTTTAACGAAAATAATATATTTTAATAATTTAATGTTTACTTCCTATTACCACTTTTTTAAGATTCGTATAATTAACGCATTATTACTATGATTATAAAATAAAATATAAACCATACATTTATTATTAATTTATGTAATGTGTTTTGGGAGGTGTGGGGCCTGAGCCTCCCACTTCATTAACTTACTATGAAAATGCTATGGCTGAAGCTCTACCCTAACTTTAAGGTCTAGTTGGACCTATGGTAAACACCTATCTACAGTGATATGACGCCACCCTGAACAAAGATTTAATGAAACAGCATCGTCATAGCGAAGGGGTATAGGGAATGATTCCCAAAATAGCATTTCATCACAGATATAGATAATATATTATTATTTATATAATATTTTATTGTCTATATCTGTGCATTTAATAAATGTTCCCTCCACCATAGAACAATAAATTGTTAGCCTTTACTAATTCTTCGTGCTCTGAGAAATTTACTATACTATCAGCGAGCCAGAAAGGTTTAATTTTAAACTTAGGTCAAGATAAAAATAAGGTATATTCCAAAGTAATGATATTTTAAGTTGATATACGAATAGTTCGCATCAGCAATCCCATAACTTGTTTCTGTTACATTTCAGGTCCATTGAAAACGTTTTGACCTCAGTCCGTGGGCTCGTATTAAATATATTAAAAAATATTAAAAATCTTGAATACATAAGTACTCCGACCGATATAAAGTAAATTTTTTTACTAAATCAAAAATCATTAAATTTTTAAAATCGAACTATTAGAAGTACCATAATTGTTCAGTCGCTATAAAATAGTTTTTATGAAAAATTAATAGGGAGTTGCAGGGGCTTAAGGCAGGGGTGTAATTTCAGTTTTTTTCTTGGTGTGCAAACTTTTAAGGAGGCCAAATTTGACATTTCACCAGGCCATTAAAAATATATATTTATATATATAAATGTAGGTAACCTAGCCAACCTATGTAAATATTCTTTCCTTAACTTTTATAATTCTAATTGAAACTCATTATAACGGCTAATGCAACTTTTAAATAGCTAGCAATTCAAATAATTAAAAGCTTATAAGCAATTAAAGCAACCAGCTAAAGCCATTTCCCAATTATTTGTAAAGAAAAAAGGCAAATAAGGTATAATATAACAGTAGTCCGGTTTATTTATTATATATATTTATTAATAAGTTTACTTTTTTCAACTTAAATCAATATTATTGGTACAATAAAAATAAAAATCTCCATGTATAAAGAAAAGTTACTTTAGCTATAATCAACGCAGAGCCGAATCTATTTGAGTTATCGAATTGAAATTTTTAGATTAATATTATAATGTCAAGTTCCACTAAGAACATTTTGATTTTAAAGTGTTGAAATCGGCAAAAATAAATTGTTTACGTACAAATTGTATAACTATGTACATATTTTACAGCACGGCCACCTGTGGTTTTCCATAGCGACATGCAACCATAACTTTTTCCAGTCTATGTGTAATCTGTCAAACTTAAAAATGAAATGTTTTAACATACGCCCTATATTTTTTTTTACTTTATCATAAAAGTATAATATTGTGCACATAAACATATAATTAACTTATAAATAAATGTGTATTATAATAAATAAACAGGACTTTTAGGTAGAATCCCCCAGTCGGTTAGTCCTAGTCGGTCGAGAAAATATCGTCCGCAAATGCTCGTGTTAAAACTGATGATAAGGCTATATGGGTCGCTGACAAGGTTATTAGTATATAGCGCACACCCCCCAATGATAATGTGCATAATTATGATGTCGTATATTGTTTATATAATATAGTCGTCAATATCATTTTATAATTGATAGATATTTAGGGTATGTGGAAATATATTTCAACAAGTAATTAAAATAGGTCAGACCTGTGTGTTATTTAACAGGGCCCTACGGCCCCAGTCCCGCTGATGTCGTGCACTCGGCAAAAGCTTTAATTATGTGTTAGTCTATGCGTGTACTCTGTTTCAATAAGGATCGTGAACACCGAGTCGTTGGCGCACCGGCGACTGATGAGTGACGAAAATCGGTCGGCCGACTGATCATTCTCCTTTGAAATTGAGACAGAGTACCTAAGGGTGCGACGGTCGCACGCGACTCATAAGTGAGCGACGGCTGTACACGGGCCTAGTGTTTAAGTTACGTTTGCTTTTAAATCAATAAAAGTTTTTCCGACCAAAATCGGTGTTTGAGTTTTATTGTAATCGTTTGGTGTTCTTACCTTTTGAAAGTATAGTGTCCGGATTTACGTGCTTTGAACCCAGGAGGTTTTGCTTAAACTGAGTAGGTAGTTATGCTGTGCTATGTGAAATCCCGAGTTATTCTGCTTCAACCCTTATTGAAGGTCAGGGCGCTAATAAAATTGATGTTAGGGAGGGTCGTGAATCATTGAACCATGGCGTAGAGGGTTAGACGGTTGTACGTTTTTAATGGGTCACTTGACACATATGCATAATACGGTCATTATAGGGGGGACATCAAGGAGGGTTGTTTTTTGCTGTGTGGGTGGTGCTATGTGCAACATCAGTGATGCCAATCCTTAATAGTTTGATACCAAAGACATTGTTGTTAACACTTACTATATGATTTACAGCATCGCTGTGTGTCTATATTGTACCTATAGGCTATAAATATTAATCATGCGCAGTTTAATTTATATAATATAATGAATACCTATTGTATTGTTTTATAAATCATGATAATAAAGTATAAATATCATTAATTTAGACGTATTTTACTTGTGTTTTCATTATTGGTCGTTAGACATTCCACTACAAAATTGATAGTGTTATCATATTTCGAAATTTAGGAACCGTTACATTTGGCGTCCCGTCGAACAATAAACATTGTGTAGGTACTACTGGTAAAGTGGTAAACAATACATATTTTAACGTATTATAAATTATAATATTAGGTACATCGTAGTCATCGTACATGTTGCTAACTTTCTATTTCTAATATATTATTAATACATTACATTAAAGTATAATCTAAAAAAGTTTGAATAACAATTTTATTTTTCTTGAGTTAGGTGCTGCCTATTAATTATTATTGTAGGAGATTGAGTTCAATAGACATTTAAGATGAGTGAAGTAAATAATGACAAACCTGAAATGTGTATTAAAAATAGACATCATTTATACAGACTCATGATAAGGTTAAGTATAAATCTTATTAAAATATAGTCCATAGTATTTGCATTAACACACATTTTAATTTTGTTTAGTCAACTTTTTTATGATGGGCATACATCAATTGCTTCGAGCTTAGCGATCCAAGTGAATGCTGATCCACCTTGTTCTCCATCGGATCGACTCAGGAGTATAGTGACAAAAGGCTTACAACATGAAACTGATCGACAAAAAGATGATGAACAGGCATCAAACATAAATCCAGTTCAACAAATGTTAATTGGACCAGGACTTGGTATGCTTAATAATTTATATATTGTATTATACATATGTGTATTAAATTCTTTACATGATTTAATTAGATTTGGAATTTGATACTAATGTGATTTGTACTGCTCCTGAACCGTCGCTTTATGAAACTGTGTATGTAACATCCCACAAAGGTGCTTGTAAGGCTGGTGCTTTTAGTCCCGACGGACAGTTAATCGCAACAGGAAGCAGTGATGCATCAATCAAAGTAATTATATTTTACAACATAAAATTGAATGACTTATTAAAATAATATTTGTAGATTTTGGATATTGAAAGAATGTTGGCTAAAGCACAAGATACTAGTTGTACTGATAATCAAGAAGGTCAGGGACATCCAGTAATTCGGACTTTATATGATCATTTGGAAGAAGTGACTTGCTTGGAGTTTCACCCTAACAAGCCAATATTGGCTTCAGGCTCTCGAGATTGTCATGTTAAATTATTTGACTATTCAAAAGTAACTGTGAAAAAAGCGTTCAAGACCATAAGTGTAAGATGTTTAATTAAATTATTCTATTTTTCACAAATACACAAATTATTTTAAACGCATACAACTTAACATTATAGGATGTGTACCCGATAACATGCATAAGTTTTCATCCGCTTGGAGACCATATGGTAATGGGCACCTCCAGTCCAATCATAAGGCTTTATGATATAAATACAGTTCAATGTTATGTTAGTGCAGTTCCTAGTCATCAACATACTAGTCCTATTACATCAATAAAGTATACAAAAAATTATCTTATGTTTAATGTTTATGAAATTATTTATAAAGGTATTGTTTATTATGATGTGTTAGGTTTGAACCAGGTGCCAAGTACTTTGTGTCCTCTAGTCGGGATGGTTCAATTAAATTGTGGGACGCTGTGTCTAATAAATGTATTAACACTTTTGAAAAGGCACACAATGGTAGTCAAGTATGCTCTGTGACATTTTCAAGAAATGGAAAGGTGAAAATGTTAAAAGTTTTATTTTTATAAAAATTATATTAAATTATTTTATTTTATTTTTTGTAGTACATCTTATCATCAGGCAAAGATTCTTTAGTGAAACTTTGGGAGTTGTCCACTAGTAGATGCCTGATTGCTTATACTGGAGCTGGAACCACTGGTAAACTAGTGTTTGTTTTCATTATAATCTGTACAAATGTATAAATAATCAATGTTTTTGAATAGGAAAACAAGAACACCATACACAAGCATTGTTTAATCATACTGAGGAGTATGTCATGTTTCCAGATGAAGTCACTACGTCTTTGTGTGCATGGAATTCACGGAATGCTTCTCGACAGCAACTTTTATCACTAGGTAATTCATTTTGTCCAATGCATTAAATTTGTTTTATTAAAATATTTTCATCTTGAATTATTTTGTAGGCCATAATGGACCTATTCGCTCAATAGTGCATTCTCCAAATTCAGCATCATTTTTGACTTGTTCGGATGACTTTAGAGCCCGTTTTTGGTATTACAACAAATGATTGGAGCATAAATTGAATATTTTTTGTTTTATCTAAAAACTATTTAATTATTTAATCTTGAATAAACTTCGTATAAAATATAAAGTATTGTGTTCATAATTTATTGAAATGTTATACATTTTTAATTAAATAATATTTCCTAAATTTCAAATAATATGGTCTATGGAATTTTTTGGCTTAATAATAGATAATTAAATGTTTAAAAAAGGTGAGGCAAATTTGTACTTCTTTGTTTTACACTAGGTGTTGTGTGGGTCATTGTAATGGATATGTTAATTTTAATTTAATAATGTTACTGTACATAAAAAATTAGTGTAGACAGACCTGTCTTGTCTGTTTTATATTATTTTTAGATTTTTGATCACAGTATTTACTTTATTTTGTATTTTCAATCTGTAGTTATAAAATTTGATCATCTTATACATTTTGAACTACAAAATAATTTGCAAATGGTTGTGTTTTTGATGAATTTTGAACTTAAATGCTTATAAAAAAAATTCATAAATTATTGATTCATCCTGAATTTCAGAAAATTTTATATGAGTTGCTGTGTGCTACTTCTTCTTCTTGTCCATTTTCTGAATTTCAGTTTCTAAAATTATCCAAGTCTGAATCATACTGGAATAATGCAAAAATAAGCTGACTCTCAGTGGTCTTTGGGTTATGCTGTAGATGTTTTAGGTGACACAAATTAATTACTCAAAATATTCGGATCAAAATTATAAAATACACTGATTATTGTTCATCATAAAGAGTCCAGTTGTTGCTCGTAGAATTAACTATAGAGAGGTTGTTACTGTGTGGGGTGGTGTTCTGTCTAAGGGACGGCACGGTTATGGTGATCAGAGAGTGGTAGGTAATAACGTTGTGAAATATTGTGTTTCCATTATTGTTTTTGTTACTATATCAATTTTTGTGTTTGAATACTGTATGATATTTTCATAGTGAATTATAGAAAGAATGTCAAAAAAGTTCTCTCAGTGGTAAAGTATAATTAAATATAACTGTTTTATTCTTTGTTGTTTTATCTTCAACCCAAGTGTTGTATTTGCAAAAATATCTTTGGCTCACCTATGAAAAAAAAATACATGATATACACAGTATTTAATTATAAACATAATTTAAAATTTAAAAATATAATATACAACGTCTGTTTAACTTTTAACTAGATTAAAATTACTTAAATATTAACTATAAAAAATTATAAAACTGAAAATATATAAGAATAAGTTTCATAAATCATAATATATTATAACTAGGTTATATAGTATTGGTTACAACTTACCATTATTAATAACAGTGTTGATACTAATAAACACTAGGGAAAATATGACAAAAAGCAAGTGAAAAATTGACTTGGAATAAGATATCAAGTGATACAAAAGGGTAAACTATTTGTATTTTACATTATGTAATACATTTAAGTCAAATTATACAAACACAGATCTTAACTTATAGGTATTAGGTACAAATTAAACATCAGGTGTAATATGTATATAATATGGTACTATATAATTTGGTAGTCAAAATAAGCAATAAATTAATTAATAAAATCATTTATAACATTTTTACCAGATAGGTACCTATAAGTCAAGTTTTTCTTTTCTTGAAATATATGGCTGCCTACCTATTTAATTAAAATAAAAAAAATACAGCGCTTTGATTGTAGACAAAATTAATAAAAGAACTTTTAGGTAGTAATTAATTAGGTGTGTCTAAAACTTAAAACAGTACTAAAAAACATACAATCGTTTAAATCATTGGTTACCACAACTACAGTTAATTAACAAAATTGCTTTATAGTTTTTAGTCTAATGAAAGTAAGTAAATTGTTATAATTGTAAAATTTTTTTTAAAAATTAGAGTTAATCCAACCATTTACAAAAAACCGAGGAAAGCATTCCATAATATTATTATGAATAAGTACTAAGGTACTTAAGTCAGTAAAAGTAAAAAATAAAAAGTGACTAAATTGAAACAACAGAGTTATAACCAATAAAATAATATGTAGGGTGTAGTACTGAACTACAATGTAATTCTAATTTTTAAATGAATAATTCTAATGAAATGTACTTATTCTGGTTCAAGAGGGATACTTAAAATGTTTTTATTTACCTGGATTTTCATTGGATGTAATAAAAAAATGTCTAAATTTTTTAGTAGAATTTTTGTTTATTTTTCTTTTGTAGTAGTGAATTTCAAGTATGTACAGTTATTTATTTTTTGAGTAGGACTCTGGGTTTTGAAAAAATTGATTTTGTTTTTTTGTGTAACTAAAACAAATGACCATACTTACATACATGACATTTTTACTGAATATTTATGTTAGCATTTTCTATACAACATAACATTTTCAAAATATTTGGATTCGTTTTGAATTATTTATAGCCATACGAATTGCTCAATTATTATCAGTTTTTATTAAAAAAATATAGATAAAAAATTGTTCGTTCCGCCAAAAAACTTTAAAATGCAATACAAGATCCCTCGTAAGTTGTTGTTAGTGGAAATTTAAAAAAAAGTTGAGCTTGAAACCATATTAATTTTTTATGAATGTTTGAATTTTGAATTTTGACAAAACTCTTAAAAATCAAGAAAACTTTTCAAATTATTTTGAGTTAAAAATTCATAAAAAATGTTCTTTTTAAATCTAGGATTCAAAAATTTAATACAAGATTCGTTATAAGTTTGCCTACATTTATCAAAAAAAAAAAATTTATAATATCAGAAAGTCAAATGAGTGTTTGAATTTGAAATTTTTAAAACATAGGATATTCACTTGCCTTTTCTCATATGGCGAATTTTTATTTTGTTGCAATTCAAAAACGAATGACTGCGGATACCTGAAGTTAACAGAATATTTGCAAGTTATATTACCATTCATAAACTTTATCAGATTTTCAAAATATTTTGACTCTTTCCATTGCCATTCTACAATGTATCGGTTATTGGGTTATCGGCTATTAATTCATCTAAAAATAGCGTTTACATCGTCATCTACCGCAGTAAATCTAGCCTCATTATTGCAGTAGAACCGCAATATTGTAAAGGCTATAAGAGTATTACATATGTAACAGGTAAATATAGCTAACGCTACGAAAATTTTTTTCGTTAATCGTTAGGTAAGTAAAAAACATACATTTTCGATTGCGACAATTTAGTCTGTGGGACGCCTTAAAATTAACTGACATTCCACCCTCACGAGTTTTGCAGTTGATAAAATATTAATTAAAAACTGAAATTTAAATAATTAAACAAACTCGTACACCTACCACTCACGGCAGGGCTTGCATATAATGAATTTTAGATTTTGAACTCTCCGATAAGTGTACCCACTCTATTATTTTTACAACTGAATAATGTGTATTTTTTGTGGCTGTCATCACGGTTTTTAGCAGTAAAATATTGTAATTTTCAACACTGAAGGTGGCTTCTAGCAGCAAATTGGATACAGTTGATACAGGTACATTTGGATCTGGGGTAATAATGTTGTAATTTTTTTGAATCAATAATAATGAAAATAAATGACAATAATACTGGCTTATAATAATCTGAGATACGTTTTTTTTATTTTTTTTGTAATAATAAATCTATACAGGTAATGTATACATTGTACAATAAGTTTATGTTGTGGTAAGAGAAATAACAGGACGTGAGGTGTTGAATAAGAAGCCACCCATTGACGACATGATTAATTTATATCACATACTAATAATTATTATTCTTTATAATACTTATTTTTTTTTCTTTTAACATTTTATAGGGATAAAAAAATGTTATAATAATGAATTATTTGAATTTAAATCAGAAATCTCTTAAGATATGCAACGCACATTATTGATAAAATATGCACAAAAAACGATTTAAAATTTCAATTGTTAACATTCAACAGTACCTATTAAATAAAATACGTCCCTACCTATACCTACATTTTTGGAGAATAAAAATAATTATACGAAGGTACAAACGATGGAAATAAAATAATGACAAAATACACATGGGTGGGAACATATAGATCTTATACTACTAGACAAGAATTGTGCATAAAATATGTCCACACACCCTGCAGCGGTAAAATTCTTTTGTCTTGGCGGTGCCTCCACGGTGACGGTAAATTGTGCCCGGACTCATTTCACCTCCACCGCCACCGCCACCTGTACCACTCCACTGCTACTGTGTGGGGTAACAACAGCATGCAAGCTGCGTAACAATATTTCGTAGTGATGTAGGCTGTCTTAACGAAATAATACAATAATCTATGTATATATATATATTATATATATATATATATATTATATATATATATATATATTATATTTTACATACATCTTACCCTGCTACCCCGCACTACAGTGTGCATACGAGTAATCAAGTAATCGAAAAGCTCTCTCTATATATTGTTATGTTGTTATGCTTTCCGTACACTCATTGCTTGTCTAGAAGTTTAAGGTCTATTGTGCTTGTACTTATATGTATTTATTGTTATTCATTTATTCCCGTATAGATACATAATATCTTTCTGCATGGGTATTAAGGCCCGACGTTGGGAACCGCTGCTGCGAAATTAAGCGAAAGAAACCTTAGCCGAATAATCGTAAAATATTATGATGGCTTGTTGGACTATCATAGTATAGTGGTTACATGTTGAAGACTTGTGTGTAAGTAATATGCACCAACCAGGAGGTAATTTCAATTTTTCGTCATAGGGATGCAAACATTTGGATAAATCGAATTTTTTTAGGACACAAATATAGTGTACTTTTCAAAACATAAAAACTTTTAAAAATCAAAATCATATCTATGTCCGTAAAAATGTATTTGCATACATGTACATAATGTGTCATATGTCATATGTGTATCTAATGCAAAGGTGGGCGTTAACTAGTTAAAAAGTTTATTTTTTTTAAACTTTTTAACTTAACTAGTTAGTTTGTTTTCTAATTAACTTATGAACTTAACTAGTTCTGTACTTTTTCTTGATAACATAATTTTGTGTATACTAATATATTTATTTTATAGTTTAATTTAATAAATAATAAAAAATTAAAAAGGTATACNCCCGTATAGATACATAATATCTTTCTGCATGGGTATTAAGGCCCGACGTTGGGAACCGCTGCTGCGAAATTAAGCGAAAGAAACCTTAGCCGAATAGTCGTAAAATATTATGATGGCTTGTTGGACTATCATAGTATAGTGGTTACATGTTGAAGACTTGTGTGTAAGTAATATGCTTCAACCAGGAGGTAATTTCAATTTTTCGTCATAGGGATGCAAACATTTGGATAAATCGAATTTTTTTAGGATACAAATATAGTGTACTTTTCAAAACATAAAAACTTTTAAAAATCAAAATCATATCTATGTCCGTAAAAATGTATTTGCATACATGTACATTGTACATAATGTGTCATATGTCATATGTGTATCTAATGCAAAGGTGGGCGTTAACTAGTTAGTTTGTTTTCTAATTAACTTATGAACTTAACTAGTTTAGTTTACAGTTGAAATAACTTAGCTATTCTCAGTTGATTAAAAAAAAAAACCAATTAGTTAAAAACATTTTGAAATTGTTTGTTTATACTTAAATATTACTATATCAGTATAAAATAAAAATAATCCAATACTATAATAACACAAACATTTCTGTACTTTTTCTTGATAACATAATTTTGTGTATACTAATATATTTATTTTATAGTTTAATTTAATAAATAATAAAAAATTAAAAGGGTATACAGTGCACATTATAATAAAATTTAAATCAAATTGATTTATAATTTATAAATTAGAAACTAGAAGGACACATTCACTCTTTATGTGATTTAATTATAAAAAAAAAATAGATTAACTTTTTTTAAACTGAGTTAAGTTAATTTTTTTTTCTATATTAACTTTTAACTTATCGAGTTAAGCTTATAATTTGTTAACTGTTAACTTTTAACCTATCGATCTTGTGCCCTCTTAACTTAACTTGACTTGAGTTAATTATTTTCATTAACTTGCTCACCTTTGATCTAATGTAATAAGCTATATAGTGTAGTACTCGCCAAAAAAATATTAAGGAACCAACTAGGATGAGCCGAATGTATTATAATATAATATAATGTATCGATAGATCATAGATAGCTCTTTTTATTTCCATATACTATGAGTACATTATTATATTATATTTTACAGCTGTACAAACACTTTTAAACGTTTCAGTGCTAAAAATTTAATCGTGAAATGTTTTAAGCATCTGCGGCATGCCGCATGCACGTAATATGAGAAAAAATCTAGAAATCGTCACAGTTTTTCTTCATTAATAATTTTGTGAGACCTTGTCGGTGAAACAAACAACTTGCAGACGTAATAACATACGAAAGTAAGCGTCGTAACTCATAACCTAATGACGTTATGTTGTACACTGATAATAGGTATTAAACAGTAAACACATCACCTATAGTAATTACCGGATGGGAATGACCATTGTATATAAATAGCAAACGGTACGAACTCATAATGTTATTACCTAAAGGTTCTGATTTTGAAGGACTTAGTCTTAGTGGCTTAATGCCTCTTGTAGTCATATTATACCCACAATCCACGGAATATATAGATTTTACAATATATTTTATATAGATCTTCAATGTACGTATATTGTGTATACAGCTAGTGATGTGTGTCTTATATATACCACTAAATATCTCAGCCCGATGACCTTAGATAGAAAAATGGTTTGCTGTGGTAGATAGGGAGTACAGATTTTTTTGCATGCATTTGGATATTTTTGTTATGAAATAAAAAGTAAATTACTTTGTAACATAATTTTTATTTAAGTTAATCCATTTTTTTATCTTATAAAATGTTTTTAGTTTCTCCCGTTATTTTTAAATATTAATACACATAGGTACTCGTACATGCATACATGCATACATACATACATAATTTAATTATCATACAATTTAAAATGTTTAAATCTTTTATTATTTTGATATTTTATGATCAAACATGATACAATTACAAAGAAGAATTAATTTAATATAAATTTAAATTAAATAATAATACAAAACTAAAATTAAATTAACTTGAAATATTATGACGTACCTTGCGTTATTTCATTTTAACTATTACTTAATAATTTATAATTTGAATATTAGTAATTTGATATTATTATTAATATTAGTATTGTATTATTATGATGAATGGTTATAAATTATAATATTATAATTTATGTGATTATTAAGTTATCATAGTTTTATACTAGTGGCTTTAAAATAATAAAAACAAATATTATAATTACTAATTATATATTGTTATTATTATCAAAAACGAACAAATGCATGGTTCACAGTGTTCACACAGTCTTCTATGTTTACTATCGACGGTTAAAATACGTATAACTTATAAGTTATAATATAATATTGTAAAATTTTGCTTGACATGGCGTTTTATTTTTTTCGTATTAAAATTTTAAATAATAATGCTGAAAGATACCATACATCACATTGTGATTTTTTAAGATGAGTTTATAATTTACTAATGCATGGGACTTTTTCAATTAAAAATACTCAGAGACGATAGTGACACTATATCGAACCAAATGAAGATGAGAAAAATGAAGTAGTTGCGTAGGTACATTCAATTAAATCCTCGTTTACATTTGAGACACGTTGCTAAAGAATTTGGGGTTACAAAAACAATCAATTTATTACTCTTTAAAAATTTGAAATTTTCTCAAAATGTGTAGGCATCTGTACCCCCCGTCCCCCGCTATATATCACGGCAAAGCGTTTTTCAATCTAAGGTAATCGGGTTGATATATTTAGTGGTACCCACATATAAGACGGACACAGTGCACATGCGTTGTGCTGTTGTTCATATTATATTATTATGATATTATTGGTAATGCTTTGAGTATTCGTAATAATACTTTAAGGACTATAATTTTTTTCATAGCATAAAATAACATGATACGGAAACGAAAAATAGTTGGTCCTATAATAATCTATAAACAAAATTTGATATGTTGCGTTGTGACAATAAGTATCGCTGTAGTCTGAGTTTCTGCTAGAACTACAGTAAGTAAGAATGTATTACGCACCAGTAAAATTATTTAAATTATAACATACCAGAATATGTACACACACACACACACACACAGCTGGGTGATACTTACTTTACCAAATAAACGTTTGAACTGCAGCCGTCTTCATTCGAGGCCAACATCATTATAATTATATCCGCTGCTATGTTCAACCGTGTGCTCGTGACCACTTCCACTACAACAACTTTAACTTCTTGCAGCTCAACACCAAAATTCATTACGTTCATCGTCAACGCCTTCCTACTCTTTCCATCCAATGTAAAATACTAGAATCCAAAATGTGCACGTCATGTTGGTCTGTAGTTTACTACAGTTTGTACCAATGCAGTGTTATGGGATACCTATAATTCACAATACTGTATGTATTGGCGCAGTTATGTGGCAGTATATGTTGCAGTATGACAGGTTAAATTTAAAATAATACATAATAATGTGGAATAAATCACAATATATTAAGTAACATAATATGTTAAAGTAAATTACAATTAGGTACCTATATAAATATCAGCTCTCTTGCTTCAACAAATATAATGGTTAATATGCTGATGATTTCTAATCTTCAATCAGCTTTCTAATCCAGCAATAATAAAATGGTAGGCAATAATTAGTAATTATTGTAAAAAATATTATATCTATATTATACAAATATAAAAACTTAAGCTGGCCAGCATTATCTGTGCTAAAAGCCTAAGATGAATATAACTGAACACACAACTACACAATAGACACTATACAAAATATAATTTATGAAAACATGGATAACAACGGTCAACGAAGTAGTGATTAGCGGTCACACAGTAAAAATAATATAATTAAAGCAACCGTTGCAATTCGAGCACACGATGCATTACCTTTATGGCTTTATGAAAGTTGACCTAAATAATAAAAAATATTTAAATCGGCGATCGGCGTACAATTGTTTAATAATAATATTAATAATGTCACTTATATAACGATATAATAATCCCCAGCAAAAATATAAATATTGATTATCCTATCTCAGATAGCTAGTAAGTTGACTAAAAAAGTATAAAATAATACTAATTTATAAGTGTCCATACTACCAATTATCTATTATACGCAAAACAGTATAGACATTTAATGTATTGGCACATTTCCGATTAGGCCATGCGTACGATATTAACTGCGATAATATATTAGACTCATAATTATAACAGTATTTTAAATATCTATACCACAAAAATAGATAATGATATAGTCTAAAATGTATGTGTTGTGCAATTTTTTTGTATTTGCTGAATTTTTATTTTTAAATTTCAAATTCGTAGGCTTACCTTCGATTCGATATATTTTTTTTAAGCCAGCAGCCGTCTGTTTCGAACAATGTCGTCGGTTTCGACGAGCAATCGAACGAACAAATCGATATCAGAAAACTATCAAACAATCGATACCATATAATAATAAGTCGAAAAGCGGTTACTGTTTTGTCGATCTTATTCACAGTATAGTAGTTATGCCCACTTATATAACTACAAACAATAATATTATAGACCTTCGACCTGATCAAACGCAGCCGACGTCCATCAGTTATCAGGTACCTATGTGTATACGACTCGTCCGTCAGTATAACGCAGTGACCGCAAGCGACGGGCCGCGTTCTCCTCCGTGAAATATTTTCGTTGATCCTTTCGTTCACCGAACGGCGTAAATCAAGAAAAACGAAAATGGATTACCGTTTACAGCTGGTCGTGAGTATTTACTTTTTAGACGTGAATACAAGAGGTATACAACATATTATGATACGTCACTATATATGCGATCGTCCAATTGACTATAGACAATGCTAAAGAAAAATGTGAGGTCACTTTTCGTTTTGTGTACATTTTGGTTTATTCACAGTTATAAACTTTTTGATTGCAACATTTAGACGGTAGTACTGTTAGGTCCGAGAGTGTGCATAATTCACATATTATTTCAGCATGATTTTTATGGATATTCAACACAAATTCCTAAAATAACCAAAAATATCGAGGAAAAAAATTGTTGTGCTTTATGAATATTAGAAATAATTGGTATGCTCGTATGTATAATTTTTATTTTTGTTCATATTTTAATTTTTTTTTTAAGTATTTAATATTATAATACATACAAAGTATAGATAGCGTATACCTTAATGTATAAATAATAAAATATGAAAAATCGAAAAGGCCTTATTTTTAAAAAAAATGTATTCTTTACCATTTATTGTTCACGGGGTAATAAACTTATAGGGTATCAACCGACTTTTCTTTAAAAGTTCATAATAACTGTGAATAATTTATTTTATTTGTTGAAAAACATTCACAAATGCATACAATCAATTTTTTAATAATTCGAAAAGACGAAAAATACAAAATAATATTTTCAAGTTTAAGTCTAGAACATGAAAATAATAGTAATAAATGTCAACAACTAACTCTGTAATAATTTACAACAATCAAATCTTCAAATTATAGCACATTTAATAGTACCTACACATTATATTTCACATACAAATCACTATGTATAGTTAGTAGGCACCTACGAATAATTGAGGGAGAATTGACAGAGAATATTGTAAATAACAGTGTTTTTTGTTTTACTGCCACAATACCTATAGAGTTGTATAAAAATGTAAGCACCTACGATATAACTCTTATAGATATACATACAACTTTTTTTCCTTTCAAGACGTTATTGTTGGCCGTGTGCAGTTGTTGCTGTGGATTGCCGAATAATACCCGCTCTTACAACATTCTGGTGTTTCTACCGACCGAAACCAAAAGCCATTTTATCGGGTTCCGACCCTTGCTGGAGACGTTAGTGACCAGGGGACACAATGTGACACTAGTCTCACCATTCGCGCTAGGTTCCGACGGGACGCCGTTGCCGCACTACACTCACGTCAAAGTGGATATCACCGAAAACGTGGCAGGTAGTTGTACCTAGACTTTTGCATATTAAATATTTTTTGTATGCACTTATAATCTTGTAACGTGCAGCTATCTAATATGTAACCATAATAAATGTACACCTAGACTGCCTAGCAAAAATGCAATTATCTTGTTAGTTACGTTTGGGGGCTACACAAAGCGTATTCCGCCTCTTTTTCCGTCGAATTCAAAATGCATTGGTTTAAATCGGATTAGCTATACACGACGGATGTTTTCCATAAGCGGCGGAAAACGACGGTCGGCTTGCGTTTTGAGGACGAACGCCGAAGTAATAAAAACCCAAACTCCTAATTTTACATTGTTTTTAATTAAGATAGGCTACCATTCGGAAAACGCTGCGGAATACTCCGTGCATAGACCGGGGGTCTTAGCTTCAGCAGTTCGATCTATGCGATGATGAATCAATCAGAACAATTTCTTTTATATATTATATAAGATTATAAAAATATACATTTTATAGGTCTGTATAATGTAGGTAGTAGGTACTTATACAGGCTATACATATTAATTATTATAACTACTTATATCAATTAATATAAGTTGAAATTTCGAGACCAATTTAATTAAGATTATAATTAGTAATTATCAATACAATTTTCAATTAATTAATTTAATCGATATGATCACGATACTAAAATTTATTATTATTATATTATTGTTAATGAAAATGATTTTTAGAGATATATTATGTACAGTGTTTTCACACTAAAATGAATTGCACGTCTTATCGGTACATTTTTACCTTCTATAATGATCATTATCACGACTGGTCCTTCCGAAGTTCTGTCTTTTCACGATGATGGCTCACGTGATATTGAAATTTAAAAACATGTTTAATGTTAAAACAATTTTAAAATTAAATTGTTGTTTATTTAGTAAAAATAATTTAGATATCAATACGACAAAGCCTTGATTTTTTAAAATTATTTATCTATATTCTATCGTATTATTTTAACAACTCATTGTCTCATAGATTTTCTATAGTTTTCTGTTTACATCAAGTAACAACAACAAAATATAATATCCAATGTCACATTGAAAAATATTTATATATTTTACCTATATAGGTACTACTGTACTAGTTCTATTTGATGCAGAGTCGATAACGATGAGGACTATGAACAATGTGTGTATGCATTGCATGCGGTAACGCACGTCTCTTTGATACTACACTTCATAATATTATACTAAGAAACGCCGATAACTAAACTCTACTTTTTTAACTCTTCTTAATAAATGGTGTGGTTCGACGTTTAAAAAAAATATGCAAATCGGTATGGCAGAACTTCAAATAATATCACTGTACAAACAAATCGACCCGACGTCTTAAAATATACACATAACATACTATACATAGGTAATATAGGTATGACATAATATTATAAGTAAATATAAAGATAAGTAACAATAATTTATAAAAAATACATACTAATTGATACTATACTGTACTATACTAATATACCACGTAAAATAATTATATAGGAACATAATATTTATTTCCTCTCTATGGTTTTAAGATTCTAAGTGAGACAATGAATGTTTTGATTTTTTTTTTTAATGTTTTATCATAACTATAATAATTGGATTTTGATATCCTAAAACACACTCAAGAATGCAGAATTGCCAAAAACACTCAAAAAAATAAACTAAAAATCTTCTTAAATAAGTGAATACATTTTTATTTAAAAATAATAGTTATTATTGTATAATATAATGTATTTATGCATAAAATAAGAAGTCCTGACTGATTCATAATCAACGCACAGAAATGATAGTTAGCCACTCATTACTTACAGGGTGTGTTCGTATTATAGTCTAGGCGTGAAATAAGAAAGAATTTTGAATGATTTTGATTTCAAAGAGGTGGTCAAAGAGGGATCTTAAGATTCAATGTGGAAATCGAAACTTTTTGTTCTTTATACTGCACAGTTGCGATTGGTTGCAGATTAAAATAGTAATAGTAGAATTAGTATTATTTGTATTTTTAAGTACATTAATGGTTAGTAATTAATGTTCATATATAGTGGTCATTTTGCGCATTTTACCGGTTTCAAACTTTAGTGTTTGGCAAAATTCTACTACAGTATCATAGGTAAAAAAATAATAAGCGCCGTGCTAGTCATACACATAGAATTGGACAATTAAAAGCTTATTTATTTTGATTGTGATTACTGATTATATTTAGTCAGCATTAAAAATATTTTTAAATGTCGATTGACCAGATTATTGTAAACGGCCTTTGACACCTCAAATAGTTGCTCTTCTCATCGGAGGTTGAATCGAGTAAAATGTTTATTAAGTAACCACTTGAGGATTTCCCATACCTGCAGATAATACTATACTGCTCTCATGATCACAATCGAATCTCATTGGCAACGCCGTAAAATTTACTCTTAAATAGATATTGCTTCCACAGCACGACAAAAAGGAATTGAACAATCTCAATTATTTTTCTGGACAATGCCGGTAATAATTTAGCAAGAATTATTTATCAAATAAAATCCTCACCAAGACCTTTATAAAATTTTTAATTTATGATATACGTAAACGTAATGTGTAATGCTATAAAGCATACAATTGTATTTTATTCAAACTAATATAGAATTTTTCAACATAATTCTTATATAATGCAGATTCGACTAGAATTTAAAATAATCATGTTTATGGATTCAAATATTGAAATATCTATACATTTTTACAGCAAACCTTTGGAGGCACTTAATTTGTTATCATGCGCCTGACTATTTCAAGTCCATAAATTGATATTGAATATTTTTGTGGATAAATGATATGCAGTGCGCGTGCGCGTGGGCGTGTAATATGTTTAATGTTGATAATGTATTAGTGTTGAGTGTACACGCACTAATGATCACACAAATTAGACGAGCAGTGACAGCGAAGAGCTAAGAGTTGCCTAACCACAACTCCTTAAAAATTACATGTTAGCAGGTACCTGCCTTTCATATTATATCGACGACGCCAATCATACAAGAAAACGAGCAGCAACTATTTCATACGACCCTGGTACCGCAGATGTCCGTTCATCGTGGTTTCTAAAATATTCAAACAGTCGACCGCTTGAGTCTTTCAAACAGCGTTTAGGCGTTTGTCCGCCATCCGCCGCTATCCATATTTTATGAAATCACCCCTGATGTATTTGAAGCACCAGAAACATACAGTCGCTGCCATATAAATTGAGCCGGCGGCGGCGATATCGAGAATCCAGGGGTTCTCCGTACTTGAATGTTACAACCTTACAAGTGCACGATACGATACGATACAATACTGGCGTGATTTAATAAATATTTATATTGGTGTATTCCATAATTTCTATAACACATTAATCTAATTAATATTGTTATTGTCAGCCGAGACATTTATTTTTATACATTAATTATAATAAACAAATTGCCGACGCAACTAAGGTCGAAACACACCCCGACTAGTTTGGGATCTACCTACCGAAAAGCGCCGCCGCCGCCTGCTCAATATATCTGGCAACAGTGGCAACGACTGTACGACCTTGTACAAAAAATTGAATGGCTCAGTCGGCGGAAACAAGGCCTTATATCTTATAATAGTAAATTTAATATTACCGATGGAGACTCGTTTGAACACATATTAAAATATCTTTTTTAATTTAAGACAACTCGTGT